TGCTAGATGGATGGACTTTATTAAAGAGACCACGAATGTGAGTTTGCAAGGGCTGGGCAGAACATTAGAGGACAGAGGGCCCTGGAGATGTCTCAACCATAAGGTCGCCATGGGTTGAGACTGATGCAAAGGCAGTTAACAAGAACAGCAACAAACCATCCAGCATCACTTCCACCTTAGACTGATGTGAATCAGGTGCAGATTCCCATTCATAGGTGTGGCCTTAGCCCTGCCACAATCTTCCAACTGAACTTACCTCAAATGTTTGGTGCAAGGAAGTGTGCTATTGCAGTTATATCCTGGCTGTAGGCTTCACCAAGGCATCTGGTTGGCCAAATAAGAAAAGAACAATGAAGTGGGTGGGTCATATGCTCTTAATGCTACATATCCATCTTGAGTTTGGGAGGAAAGAAGGACAGGCTAAAAAAATGTGAAAAATAATCAAAGCCAACTTCACTGAGGGAAAAAAAATTCTCTGAAAATCCCAAGTTTTGTTCCTTTACAAATTGATCATATGTGATTTGATGCAATGTTTTCTACATCCTGACGTTTTTCCTGGCAACTCTTGGTATCACCAAGAACTTTTCATTCTTACTTCTCAGGTCAGTTTAAATTAACCCAATATTTTCCAAAATGAAATGTATTTCTTTTTGGTTGTCTGTTTTTGTTATCCTAGAACTAGCTAAGATGACTGCCATCAGTAAACACAGCTATTGTTTCCAGGCCATATATTCAACAGAGATCAAGTGAGGGAAAGAGGAATATTTGCACCAAAACAAAGTGATCCAATGTTTAACTAGTATAACATTGCTAAAATACTTCAGTGCTTTGACTATAACTCCTGGATGATAATAAGGAATACTAAGTGGAAATGGGTGAAAATCAGTTTCTTAAATATTGCATGAGTCTAGATGTGGCATATGATCAGTGGGAGGAGGAGAAGGAAGAACACAATGGAGGAGTGAATAAAACCCAGGATATTTCAAAAAGTAATTTGGATGAAAACCTGGGAACATGCTAGTAAAACCTAGATGGAAAGAACTGGAAACACTATATGCTTCCAGAATATTTTTTCTTTTCTGAATAAACCCTGAGAAGTTCTGCACATCACCCTTGATAACTAGCACTACTCCTTGGACATTTTTGTAATGTTGTCTCATGAGATACTAGTGTGTGTGTGTATTGCCCTTTGACTGGCACAAAAGTTGCAGGATTTATATTTGTGATTGTTAAGGTGAGAAAGGGAGAAGCAACAAACCATTCAAAAAGACTCCATTACCAGTTTCTCTGTGTTGGCCCCATCTCTTTCTTCCACAAGATACTCTTTTTTCCATCAACTCTCTCCAAAAGGATGAGCTGATTAAAAAATAATAATCTGTTCTTGCCTTTTCTATTGTGGAAGAAATGCTGAGATCAATATTATCTGTTTTATCTTTTTGTATCCTACAGTATATGTCACATTGTGTGTATGTAGAAAAACATATTTCACACAATAGCAATAAATATTAGTACAGAACAAAGGGCCCAAGGAACAGCTGTGTAAATTTAACATGAGGCTTTATGGTAAGTTCAGCTGCAGACTCTTGATCAGGAGAAATGATAAGGGGGAGCATTATTATGAATCTTAGGCATGCCTGATGAATCAGAATGTACTTGTGGGCTTGAGCTCTGTGATTCCAAAAGAAGGAGTAAATAGTTATGTTGTACTGAGGTCCATAATTATTTGTTCTTGCTGTCTAAAGAGAATGAAGAAATTGTATATTAAAAGTCTTGGCAGTTCTGTGGTTCCAGTGAACAAAACTAAAACAACCAAGATGATACCATTTACTTCTTCATTTTCTTTATTCAGTAATATACTATATGGAAACTTCATGCAGGAGTAGTCTAGTCATGATGGTGATATATAGTTCAAGTAATCATGGCCTACTTTATTTCATTAATAGACACCCAAAAGCTACCAACATTAGCCAGATATACAAGACATTCTGAGCATAAGAAATTTATTTTGCTTACTGATCTGATTCCACTTTAACTGGCTTGGCACTTTGGAATCCTGAGGTTTGGAGTTTAGGGAAGGGTATTTAGAATTCTTAGCCAGAGAACTTTGTTGTTGTTATGTGCCTTTAAGTCATTTCTGACTTATGGTGACCCTAAGGCAAACGTATCATGGGAGTTTCTTGGCAAAATTTGTTAAGAAGTTTACCATTGTTTTCTTTTGAGGCTGAGAGAATGTGACTTGCCCAAGGTCACCCAGTGGATTTCTTGGCCAAGGTGGGAATTGAACCCTGATCTCCAGAGTCGAAGTCCAGCACTCAAACCACTATGCCATGCTGGCTCACAACCTTAGTCCCTCACAAACTGCAAACTCCATGAGTCCATCAGGTAGAACCATGGCAGTCAGAATGGTAAATTATAGTGCTATAACTGTATCGTGTGAAAGGGTTCCTAGAATGAAATGAACTCACTTTTTTTCCCTTTACACAGGAAGCCCACTCATTGTTATCTTAAGCTTTCCTCACTGCACAGTTTAATTTTAGGTTGGTACTGTAGGAGAGTTGTTTTGTTGGTTACTGTTACTGAACAGTCAGAAATGCTTTCTAATCTATTACCAATCTTCCTGAGATCTACCAGCGGACATTTGCCCATCTCTGCTATATATTACTTCAGCAATATCAGAGGCAAAATACTGCTAGAAAACATGACTGTCCTACCTCCAGCTCATTTCTTCCTTGTAGGCTCCTCATGGGCATCTGGTGGGAACAGAATGCTAGATTAAACAGGGCTTTGGTCTGATCCAGCTAGGCTCTTAAATTCTCCCAACAGGCTTTTAGGAACAGACTGCAAAGGCTTATAAAAGTGTGCTGTCTTACTGACTTCATCTTTTTGCCAAACAGTATAAAGAGTAAGACCAGTCTTGGACTTATTATTATTATTTGAATGGCGTCTGCCACTGGTCCTGTTGGTTATAATCTCTACTACAGGGGTAGGCAACCTTTCCCCTTTAAGGGCCGAGGGACTTCAGCTCCCAGAAGCCTCAGCCATGTTGGCCAATAGTCCCATGTTGGCCAATAGCTCCTGGGATTCTGGGAGTTGAAGTCCCTCAGCCCTTAAAGGGGAAAGGTTGCCTACCCCTGTGGTAGAGGCATATATGCTTCTGTAAGTAAAGGCGCCTCTTCACATTTTCAGGGGAGAGGGGAACGACCCCCGCGAATATGGAAAAATCATGAATAATCCCTCCTCCTACTTACAAAGCAGCAGGGAGAGGTTGAAGAGAAGCATGCATGCTTGCCCCAGTTCCCTCTCCCTGAAGCCTTGTAACTGGTTCAGTTATAGGGTGGCAGGAAGGGGCTGAAGGGAAGCATGCATGCACGTTTCTCTCTTCCTTCCTCCAATGCCTGAGCTCTCTGAGGTATCAGAGGGAAGCCAGAGAACTTGCACATGCTGCTCTTGCCCCTCCTCCAATGCCTCAGAGAGCTCAAGCATCAGAGGAGGAGGGAGAAAAGCGTGCATGAGAGTCCCCTGCCTTCCTCCTCAAATTCGCAAGTGTCAAAGCCACAAATGTGGAGGGACAGCTGTATATAGGGTAGAGAGCCAGCATGGTGTAGTAGTTTGACTGTTGGACTATGACTTTGGAGCTCAGGGTTCAATCCCCTGCTCACTCATGGAAACCTACTGGGTGATCTTGGGTGGGTCACACACTTTCAGCCACAAAAAAATTCTGTGATAGGTTTGCCTTAGGGTCACCATAGGTCAGAAATGACTTGAAGGCACACAACAAGAATCCCTTCATAATGCTACCAACCATGCAGTCCCAGGGTGGGATGGGTTCAAGCAAGAAAGTTCAATGACAAGATGAGGGTGTTGTGCCTAGTGGTTGTTCCTATGCAGTTATAGGAACAGGAGATAATTTTGCTTAGTTTGCATTTCTAAAAGAACATACCATGTTTTGAATTTCCTGAATCAATATATGAATCAGAATGCAATTAACCTTCTGCATTCACACTTCCCAGAATTTGTGGCACAGTTCTCTGAAGAATAAAAAAAAAATGTTTTCAAGAATGCTAATATTACAGAAATCATTTTACAAATAGTATGAATAAGTGCACATAAAAATGCATGTCAGAGAAAATGTACAAAACAACATTAAAACATGGAAAACTCTTTGTTGTAGTTGTTGTTGTTCAGAACTTTTTAAAATAGAAAATTGTCATGGATATGGGATGGAACACATTTAAGTGAAGGGAAATGAGAAATTGAGAGACACTAAAACTGATTACTTCCTGCATCTCTAGTGGGTGGTGGATGGATGGCACCATGCTGAAGAAGTGTAAAAAGTCAAGAACAAATTGGAGGCAATGCTGCCCTCCATTAGAATTGCACTATAACTGAAAATGAATCCCCCAAACATATTTTCCATCTCCCTGTATTTTCTTCTTATGAATAGTGTATCACTGAACCCAAATGTATTTGGAAAGGTTCTGTCTTTCAGATTTTGTCCACAATATTTTTGACTCAGAATTGGACAGTATCCTAAACCTTTCTGGTCCCTGACTCTGGGAGGTGTGAAAAAACACACAGTCTGAACCCATTAAGAAAGAAAGGCAGAATGTAGCCAATATTTCCTCCCAGCAACGTCCAGAAACAGCAGATCATAACAATTTTTTATCATATGGCCTGAAATCTGTCTAGCTCCAGTCGGAATTCCCCCTGGTCCATATAGTAGCACCTCCCACTCATTCCTAACTCTCTGTGCACCAAAGTGAATACTTTCCAAATGTCAAGCAAGCCTCTCAGGTCTAGATTGACTGCACACTCACTCCATTTAAATAGATTGTGTGCATTTTTTTTTATCTTACTTGAAAGTTGTGGGTACTTAATCATGACTTGCATATGAATGAGCTGAATGAATTCATTACTGGGAAGCTAAATTAAGTTCTGCAGCTGTTCTGCCCTCAGACTTTGTTCAGAGTATGACCAGAGCAGCTGAAAAAAAATCCCTTCCCTTTTGAGACTGTGTTTGAGGAAGATGCAGAGGAAGGTAGTGAAGAGCATTAAAATTGCTCCATGGGAATGGAACATGACATGCCTGTTTATAGTGCCCAAGTTCTGCAGAGCTACTGAGCAGCAGGTAAATAGTAAGAGAAATTGGAGGCGTTGCTTCTCAGCTGCCTGACCTTGACTATGTTCATTTTTGCCTGTCGTGCAGCTGTGGCACTCACAGTCAGAGTGTCAAAGGAGCTTTACAAATTGCAAATCAAACACAGGATGCTAGGAACAATAGCAAAAACTCCAAGGGGAGCAGGTGTGCATGCGAGAGGGCACATGAGTGTGCAAGCAAAGGGGAACACGCTTCCTCATTTTCAACAGCTCTGCTCATAGACCTATTTTGCTGACCTCCCCTCCAGATGCTTCCTCCTCATATATACCTCTTTTTCCTGAGGTGAAAATCTCTGCTGGAAAGCAGCCAAGCAGCGACTACTTTCCTGGTATGATGTCAGCACAGTGAGGAGTTCACTCATTCATTGCTTTTTAGAGGCAACTGGGAACAGCCACAGATGTGACCTGGATGCAGAGGGAATAGGAAGCACCAGTGCCTTAGTTTTTGGGTTTTTTTAATCCAGAGTAAAACTGTCACATTTCCTCATCTGGGATTGCCTGTTTGGCTTCATCCGTTCCCTACAGGGAGTGATGTGGAAGATTCTTGTGGAGACAGAAGGTTGAAACTGATGTGACACACACCATCCACACAATTCACCAGAGTGCTAATGAAAGCTTTCCTACAAAAGGCAACTTGTGGGGCCCAGAATCCAGACTGGAACTACATTATAGAGAACCAAAGAATAAAATATCCTATCCAGAGGTCTAGCTACCCAGGTGAGTGAGGGCTAAGTGAAGTCAGTGTTCTCTCAAATAAAAATTCTGCCTCACCAATGAAATTTTCCTCCCGTCTCCAAATTTCTAGCATTGCAGACAGTGAGGCACTGAAAATCATTAGCACCTAGAACCCTAATATTTGCTTTATTCCCTTGGTATCTTTGCCTATCTCTTTTCTCTGGATGCCTAAACTCAATGTCAAATTGTTCCACTGAATTATAAGTTACTTCAATGTTAGGAATCTGGGGGCTGAAGGAGAATTTTTGTGGGGGGGGGGGTTATGGGGGGAACATGCCCAAATTTTCTCTTCTCCAATACCGCCCTACTCCTGTCCTCTCCCAAAGGAACTCAATATAGATCATGGGCCGACATTCATTATTTACTGTACTTTAAAATGCTGTTACAACTAGTTTAACCCAGAGGGCAAGATGGTCAGATGGAACATTCATAGTTCAAGAAATGATTTAAAATTCTGGTTATTAAACCCCATTTCTCCACTTCATACCAATTGTGAAACTGTAATTTATGTGAACTTGGATCTGTATGCGAAAGGAAGTGCATAAAGGAGGAGATAACCATTTTATTGATTGTTAATTTTGTTAAAACATGAGAAACATTTTAAAGCAAGCTCACATCCTCTAGAACTGCAATTCTTCCTTCTCTCCCCATGGAAAAAAAGCCTATGGGGAGTTTGGGAGAGGAGAAATGAGATGGCATGACTCCCATCTCTTCCCTATAGCCAGTAGTCAGACAGGATGGTCTTGTACAGGCTTAAGCTGAGATCCTGCCTTGCACTGGCAGATCGTAAAGTTCAGTGAAGGGATAGATATGTTTCATCCCCCTTCCTACACATTTGACCACTCTATCTGTAGGCTGGGTTCCTCCTTCCTGCAACCATTTCTATGGCCAAAGGAGGATGAAGGGCAACCAGGCAGCCTCCTAGCTCTGTTCCTGCAGCTGAATGCAGGGAGATGATATTACCCTCATGGGGTTCTGGAGGATCTCTGGGAGGCCCAGAAGGACACTGCAGGATGTGAATGACTAGCTGTCTGGCTGCCCTTTGTCTTCCCCTATCTTTCTCTAGCCACTGAATGGCCATGAGGAGACATACCCCATTTACAGACAGATAAGTGGCTGGGGGAGGGCATAGCAGCAGTAAAGCATATCCTTCAGAATTTCATGAATGAAAATGGGGACCCATGTGGTCAAGCAACATAAGAGCATGGTCAAGATGGCAAAAGTTATTAATGAGGAACCACATGCAAGCTAGGAAAGGCTGCAATAATTTGATTTTGTCGAAGTCTACAGGGAAGGACAAGACTTAACCCCCCCTCTTTACCCTCCTCCTGAGTTAATGGAGTGAAAACTACTTTTACACTTTGAACTCAGTTTGGATTAACTGAAGTAGGCTGAGGGCAAAGGGGGAAGAAGAGATAGAAACTGGGGCATTTTAAAAGCAAT